ACCAGCAACAGGTAAGGCCCAAATCCCTGGAACCTACAAATTTACCAAATAACTCAAGGTCATTCTCATCCATCAAAAGATGCAAGGAAAATGCGACCAAATACCACTTAAAGCTTTCTTAACCCACTGCAGAACTTTATAAGCATGCCACACCTATATCTAACTTTTGTCCATATACCATTGTGGAAAATCCTTAAAAAATGCAAAGTTGCTCTACCAATCACATGAAACACCAAGCAAAAGCTAACCCAGAACAAGATTTTCCAATTTATGACTTCAAAAGGTCTCCAATAATATCATATAAGCTACATCATAAACGTAGCAATTGCAGAGTACAACCATCAAATTACATACTCAAAGAACAAAGACACCAAAAACAAGAAACCCACAATAAGCAAGTACCAGATTCTACGTGTACTTAAAACCGCATAAATTCATCTTCTATTAATTTGACCCGATCTGAGCCACATTTTCTAAAAGCAATTTTTTTCACAAACTCATTTTCAATCACAACACACGTTCTCTTAATAAAATAAAATTTCCCATTTTACCACACATTTCCAAAAGAAAAATCTATTCTAAAAAAGAAACGGGCTCAAATGGGGCTAAATGTAGATAAAATAACAGTTTAACTCATAAATTTTAAATAATAACATTCAGGAACAGCATTAGCCAAATGTCAATGGAATCCTATCTTCCCTTTCCTCACCTCTCAAACTCTGTCCTCCAAATATTCTTTGCTTGGAAGCGCCAGCCTTAAATTCCTAATCACTAATTTTCCCTTTATCCTTTAAACTACATATAAACTACCTCCAATTCTAACCAAAAAGGTAAGAAACCAACCTCTCAAACCGCAGCCGCAAAATACAAAAACCATAATTTACACCATCACAGCAGCAAAGACTACCTTATTGTGCATGAGAATCGCGCAGCCAGGCTCAGGTTGATCCTTATCGACAAATGATAAGATCCCGACGTAGTACTCGGGCCCCACAGACTATGACACAATGGCATGATTCTCGTCTATTAACTCCTCCAAGTTCCCGACGCTCAAGGGGGAACCAGGCAGGTCATCGACCTTCGATCGATCCTCTTCTGTCTTCTCTTCCTGGGGTTTCAACCTTTCCTGATTCGCTACGAACTCTTCTTCCATCAACAAATAGTCTTTGATTCTTTAGAGCTTTAACAGCCGCAGCTTGCACTTGCTCAGTGGCGTAACAGTCGGAATCCGGGCCGCCGCCTCGGGGCCTTCTGCTTCCGCTGCTTACGGCCTACACGAGCAGGCGCCGGCTCGAACTTCTTGTCTTTCTCGTCACCGTCATTCTTTCGTTCTCCAGGAAATTGGCGGTTCCGTCTGCCGGGCGTACCCTGACCCATATTTCTCTGCAATGTAATTCAGAAGTAAATTTGGGTTCTTTTGGGAGATAGATTTATGTTTCTATTCAAGAAGGGGAAATGAGTTGGGAAGGCACGTATCGCGGCCTCAGACCAAATTTTTGAAAATAATATAAAATATAAATATTTAAATATTTGAAAAGACAATTATAACCTTTTAATTTCTCTCCAAGCTAAAGAAGAGAGGACCCAATTCGTTTCCAAATTAGAGTTCTCAAAAATCAAAACTATTCGTCTTTTTCCATTTCTAAGGCTCGCCCGTCGATCTCTCTCTATCTCTATTTTCTGAATTTTGAAACTCGTCGGACCACCTTCAAGTAACGTCCCTCGCGCGGTTGAATTTGTATTGTGTCTGTTTCTCCACCCCCGATTTTGTAGTAGAAGTTTATTTCCCCACCCCCTTTTTAGATTTAGGAAGTCACATAATATACGAAGAGCTCTTCTGTATTATAGATGGAAGGGTCTTTACGGTTTCTATAGCCAAAACTTTTGAATGACTTGTCTACATTATGATAGTTTTATGGCACAAAATTGACAATATTCGATCTCAGATGTGCTTGTAAAAGTTATGTTTTGATTTCCTCTTTTTCTAAAAGAGAAAAGTCATAATGTTTTGTCAAAAGAAAAAAATGATGGTTCTATTTCCACTGTTTTAATGTTTCTTTTCATCTGCATTATTATAATTCATCTAAGCACCTGGCAATAAGTACTTTGTAACTTATATGCTGATTGAATTAAAAGTCTCACATATTTGATTTCCTATTGGTAGATTCACTTTTGCATTTGTTTGCTACATACTAATAGTGTAGTTTCATGAAAAATATAATGGTGATGATTGCTACATATCTGTCATTTGCAAGGCTAAAGATAACTGTTTCTTTCTTGCATATGAAAAGTTTGAACTTCTCAATTTCAGTTTTGTCTTGATAGTTTAAAGTTTGATTTGTTTCCAGCCTCTACTTATAGAAGAGATCATTCTTTATTCTTTAATAGTATCATCCATGAACTCTTTTACGAGTTTTAGATTAATGGTTATTTTGTTTTTATCATTCTTTGATTTCTTATTCTTATTTGGGTTATTGGCTATTCCTCCGACATTTAACTCTTTTTTTTTCAAGTCCAAAGCCGTCTCTTCTCATTCTCTTTCAAAATATATTGAGTTCTTCTCATTCTTTTAGGAAAGATCGAATAATTTCTAAAAAGTTTACCAAATGTTTAAAAGAAAAAATGACTTCTTTATGTTAGGTTTAAATGATTTAGAAAATGAAAAATGCTGAATTTGTAAATAAATTACTATACTAAAGTGAGGCATTTAACTATGAAGCCACTGTGTGCACATTAGGTAAGAACGCTTAATAAGTGAATATCAAATAAAATATAATTTCTTGATAGCAATGATAATACCTACTATTAAATTTCATATTTTGTAAAAAAATTTCTACTACAGGAAAAATTAGAAGAACTAGGTAACTTGTTTTAATATTTCTAGTTTTTATATTTGTTATTATGTGCTTTATTATCATCAGTTCTAATATTAGTACATATTTTATAATTTGCAGTGCTATGGAGAAGATTCTTCAAGTTGATGCTACGATTACGACGAAATGCAGATTGCAAATAGTGCGAGATGTGTATGATAAGCTCGATACAAATTACAAAAACAAGCTTAGTGAGAGCTGCTTCGGATCTTTCCTTAGGTTGAAGAACATAAAGTTGGCTTTGCAAGTTATACATAAATTATTATTGCAAAAAATAAAGACCAACAAAGAAGAAGTTTGATTTAAGATATGAGAGAAAAATGTAAAATTTGGGTTGGAAGAATTTATTTTAGTTACGGGCTTAAATACGAGTGATGAGAACGACGTAGATAAGACCTTAGGGGAAGAGTGTCGGATCGTGAAAGAGAATTTTAAGAAAAGTGGGGGAAGATAATGAAGGGAGATACTTACAATGCATTTGTAAATTGCAAGAAAAGAAAGAGAGATAAGTATAAGTTAGGATTGATCGTAATCTTGGCGTACGTCTTGTGGGCTACGGAGGAGAATACATACATCGATTTATGGTGGTTAGACTTGGTGGACGATCTAGATAGGTTCGAGACGTATCCATGCAGAAAGTTTTCATTTGAATACATGATCAGTATATTCAAACGTAAAATGGGAGATAAATTGAAAAGTTTGGACGTCGGAGGCGAATCACGTTGTCGATATTCATTGCAAGGCTTTCCCCTCCCTATAATGGTATGAACAAACAATACACTTGACTCATATTTTATATATATATAAATTTGTGTTGTGAGATAATATAAATGTTTGTTTTGCAATAGATTTGGGCATTCGAAGTAATCCTAACTTTGGGAATGAAGTTTGATACGAAATATCCAAATGTAATACCAAGAATGGTCGCTTGGAAAATGCTGAAGAGGTTAACGTCTGCTGCCATTGATAATGTGTTGAATTCAAAGGAGGTAAAATTGTCTTTTTTGAGTTCAATGGGAACAAACTGTGGAGTTAGCTTCGTGAATGACTAATGACTTGCACCTTTTAATATTTGTAGTTGGAGGTTAATTCCACATTGATTCCCACCAAAATTGAACTCGAAGAGGCTTATTGGAAAGAGTTGAAACCAATCGTGGAAGAAGATGAGAGCGTTTCACATCATTCCGAAGAAGACGAGGCTGAGCATGATACCGAGCCACAGCATGCATACCACGAAGAGAGCAGTTCAACCATCACAGCATGGTTTTGAGATCAACATAGCGGATTTATTAAGAACGAAAATAGAAAAAATTGAGGGAAGCTACAAGGAGTCATATCGACTCGACTTGATCGGGTGGAGAAAAATGTTGACAGGTTAGTTGAATTGGCTGTGGCAGGTCGGTTCCATCCAGGGACGAGTGCATTTGATGGTGCCACTAGTAGCACAACTTATGTACCAGAAAATGAACCTAAGGATGGGTTGGAAAAGGAGGTTGGGTTTGATGATGTGACAGATGTGCATGCTGCTCAAAGAAAGGTAGATCTGCCTTAAGAGGAAGTTAGAGAAGGAGGAGGATAGAGGAAAAAATGTAGGAGAGAATGAGTTGGAAATTGAGCCTAGATTTGATGATGTGAGAGATGTGTCTGTTGCTGAAACAAATGTAGAAGCGTGTGAGGAGGACCCAAAGTTAGAGGAGGAGGTTAGAGGCAAAAATGTAGGAGGTTAGACCCAAAGTTGGTGGAAATACTTCTCTGACTATTAGATTCTTAGGAATTTGCCATTCGATCTCGTCGGCAAATGATATACGAATGCAGAATAAGCTTGCTTCCAACAAATACTAGTGTAAAAAGGGTATATAATTTATAGTCATCGTCTCTTTTAAATCTTGCGACAGCAATTGCATAAGCACATGGGAACTTTTCCAAATCAAATCTTCTACACGTACATGTCATTTCGTAAAAATCCACAAAGTGGTATTCTAAATTGTCATCAACTTGATAAATGTCCGGAGAAACCTGATTTACCTCCAACCCATTTGACCCATTATATGTCATGTACATCTTTTTCTATAATGCTAGCGTGAGTTTTGTCACACATTTTTCTGTTTCAATATGTCTTTCATAAAATCACCTTTGTAGTATCCCACGAATATATTCTATTAAACCAACTATTAGAAGTTCTCGAGCACTCTTCAACAAACCATTTATAAATTTCGCATTATTCATAGTAATGATATTGTAACGTATCCTGGTAAAATGCACTCTAGCCCCATAATGAAAATATTCTTCTAATAGATATTTTTTGATGCCCTCCTGTTTATTGCATAGAGTTGCCATGTATGACTCAAATTCGGTTACAGTATAAGCCTCCGACGCTGCCCTAAACAAAGTTGCAACATCACACCGTGGAAAATTTGTCTTCAAGTTCTTTTGCAAATGATATGTACAATTACCATGATGAGCAAATCGAAACACATTTTTAACTCTATTTTTTATGCATGTTGCACGGTCAGATATAATCACAAGATCATCTGTATCACCTGTTATTAACCGCAACTTCTGAAAGAACTAAGTCCAGGATTCATCATTTTTAGAATCAACTACTCCCCATGCAAGTGGAAATATTTGAAAATTTACATTCTGAGAAGTTGCTACGAGTAGAGTACCTTTCATTCTCGATGTCAAGAATACACCATCTACAGAAATTACCTTTCGCATTGAGTTAAAGAACCCATGTATACTTGGTCCCAGTGCCATAAAAAGGTACTTGAAGTGCCGATCATCATTAGTATGAATGAATGTCAGTGTACCAGGATTTTGCATCTCCAAAATATGACAATATGCTGGCAATTTCGTATAACTCTCATGGGGTTTCCCACGTATCAGTCCACATGCAAAATTTTTAGCCATGTACGCTTTAGTATAGCTTACGATTATGTTGAACTCTCGACAAATATCATTAATAATGTTCGTCGGTTTGTAAACTCAGTTAACATCTTCATACATAGGAGCGATATGATTTCCAATAATCATATATGAAGCATGCCTATGATCTCTGTGACGAACACTCATGGAGTAAGAATAATGACCATTGTACTTTCAAACCTTGAAAATGGGACTTTTTATGATCTTGGTTGGTCGTAAGGCCACTTACAATTTTCATCAATACAAACAATTGTATAAGTGCTCTTATTTGACTTTTTAACTTTACACTCAAAGTGGCACTTCACAGCTAGCAACTGCAATTTTGATATTATGTCATATTTCGAAGGAAACAACTGGTTGACTCGCATATCTAATCGTTCCGAAATTTTTACCGATGTCTCGTAACAGAGCGAACTTACACTTGCAGATATAATCTGAGTACATTCAATATCATTACCATTCACTATATTCCTACTACAAGGTTTATGGGTGTGTAACTCAAAATTATTGTCATCTGCTACAGGAGAATTAACTTCGTCATCTAATCTTCGGGGACTATCTTCACTTACGTCAAAACAATTACAAATATTCCATCACCATTGTCATCATTACCATCGTTGTCTGTTTGATCATGTTCCTCCTCATTCATATTTCCAATTTGTTCTCCACCATCTATTACTAATAAACATCTTTCATCACCAAAATCTTCTCGATTCTCAACAACTTCATTTAAAATACTTTTACAAAGAAAAGTTTTTGTACAGGCAGATATAAACCACTTCACGTTGTTGTCATAATCAATTATGATTGGTGCAGCTGGAGCTTTAGATATTATCGGGACAAGAGTTGAAATTTCCATTTTGTATAGACTCGTATCAATGTTCAATGCCTCCTTAACTTTATCATATAGTTCCATGTAAGAAATTGTTTTTGCAACAAGAATAAGTATTGTTTTTCTTTTACCATTTCCAGAATACTTTCATTTCCATGAACTTCAAATGTCTGCTCATATTCAATTGGATAACAAACCGATGTCCATACCATGTCCATGGTTCCATAACTTGTAATTCAACATATAAATTTCATCAAATTCCAAACATCATACAATATTGATAACGATATGTACGTTGTCATGGATTTCAGAAAACGATATCTATGTCATTCACGATTTCATAAAACGATATGTATATCATTCTGTACTGAAAAAATCAAATGTATCTTTCACATGGAAACAATGAGAAGAATAGCCAATCATCCTTCACCACTTCACATTTCACTTCAATTAATACTAAGGAATACAAATAAGGGGTAATGAAAATAAGATTGGGAAGTAACCCATTTAAAGCTCCAATCTAATCATAAAATGAATTCAAAATCATTATTAACAAATGAACACCACAAAAACAAATACAACAACATGAACATATGATTCAAAACAATGGAGAAAGAAAGTGGCTCAAATATTGAAAATTTACCATACCATCTCTTCTTCTCCAAATGCCCAATAAAAATATAGCAAGGCTTTATTATTCACTTCAATCAAATGAATGCTCAAGGGAATGAGAATGTAAATTTTGTGATTTCATTTTGTAGAGAAGAAGATGATGATAAGAAAATCAACATGGAGGCATCTACCGTGGTCGAGTCGTTCATAGAGGAAGGAAGGAGATTATTGAAAGGAAATTGAAATGAAAATTAGTGCAATAACATCATTTTACATACAAGGATATTTTAGCCTTCTACTAATTCTATTTTTCATATTTAATGACTTTAGGTCTTTCAACTAAAAGCCTTAGTTCTTGGTCTTCTTGGACAAATGTTTAGTTTGACCAACCCTTTTAAATCAATTCCCCATTCAAGAATGGGTTACAGGGTTAGAGCATGTTTGGCTACGATAAATGGAGACCAACAAACATTTTTGCTCTTTGTTTTTATTGAGTAAATGATCTAAGAACCAATTTGGAAAAACAAAATGTTATATTTCACTTGTGTAACATATTTTATTCACTTTTGAACATTTGTTAAATACGATAATAGTTTATTATAATGATTTATTCACTCTTCAATATGGTTTATTTTCATAAAATCAATGTGCTTTACTATTTTCTTCTTTGTCTGTATAGAGCCTTTTTCGATGCTAATTGTAGAGTCTAATCATTCTTTTTGTGTTAGATTGCCTGTTTTCTTACTTTCTTGAAATTTAAAAAATTGTTGATAGCACTGTCCTTTACACATATCAAGTATCGAGTACGACTTACATTACTTCTGAAGTTATTTGGTTTAGGTGACTTCTTGAAGAACTTCGCACTCCTCAATTTGTATTTATTACTATCACAATGGGACGTATATAAGTTAAAGCAAAATTGTCTCCAGAATAAACCAATACTACTTGAGGAGCAATGAAAGGAAGAAGAGGATACAAAATTCAATAATGTATTTTTCATGTATTTTGAAGAAAATAAAATTTATTTATGTATTTTACATTTACTTGTAACCATGCAAAAATTTGCACCCTGCTAATAGTAACTTTCCAAATTGAATTAGAACTCCAAACACAAAAAAATAAACTCAATAAATAAGAAAAGAATAAAGGAAAAAATCGATCAAAATCTGAACAGAAACCATTCGTTCACTCATATTGCAGCGGGCTTATCTCCTCGCTGAAGGGGTAGATACAGATAGAGGGGCTGATTTTTAGCCCCTGGGCTATCCCTGCTCCAGTTACCAGCCTTCATCTTGGCCCTCTTGCACCAATTGTAATGCTACATTATTTATTTATTTTTTTTTTCAAATTTGATTCCTCACACAGTTCTATCTCTAAGCGTTAATTAATGGTTGGAAACATCCAAATTCATTAAATTGAAAGTATTCTCTAACAATTTTCTACCATTTTCAAAATGAATGGTGACTTCGGATAGTTTCAAATTAATGAATAGCATTAATGTATCTTTTGGACTTGAACATTCATTTATTGATAATCTTTCAAAGCTAAACTTAGTAGATAAACTTTGAAGTAATGACCTTGTAAGACTAACTTTGAACCAGAGGTTTTTTGGGTGAAAGTTGAAGAACAAAACCTGCAAACCAGGTTCAAGGTAGATAATATTATACCAAGTGAATTGGAATATGGTATCAGAGCCTATGTCTAGTCGGAAGTGTGGTCAGAGAGAATTTTGGACCCCATAAGGTGGGGTAGTTGAAGCAGCCACAATCCAACATCGCCTAGGAAAGGATAATGAGATTGGTTTATAAGCAAAAGGACATCGGAAAAATTCGCGTATGCCCTATTGAAAAAAAAAATGATTTCACATTTTACTAAGTAATGGAATCATAATTAAAAATACTAATGTAAATGTAAATGGTGTTTAAAAATACTAACTTCCAAATATAGAGCCCAAACCATTTTTTTGTAATGGTGCTTAATAAATTATTTCTTTAGTATCAAACACATTTTTCTTGAGACAAAATTTGGTATTTTCAATCACAATTATGAATGTACTTTACCCATTGAACCCAAGATATTAGAGTGAATTTGATTTGTCATTTTGAAGTTACTTTTAATTTTTAGTTTTCCAAAACACTCAAAACATGTTTTGTATGTTATTTTCAAAAATACATTTTCGAAAACAAGGAAAATATTACAACATAAAACTCAAAGTGACTTTTTGACATTTTGAGTGTTTTCATTCAAAAAAAAAAAAAAAAAAATCAAAAAATTGAAGTTACTTTTAATTTTTAGTTTTCCAAAACACTCAAAACATGTTTTGTATGTTATTTTCAAAAATACATTTTCGAAAACAAGGAAAATATTACAACATAAAACTCAAAGTGACTTTTTGACATTTTGAGTGTTTTCATTAAAAAAAAAAAAAAAAAAATCAAAACAAGGAAAATGAATATAAAAATTTCCCAAATTAAAATAATTAATAAAATCACATAAAACTTATCCAAATACAAATACCTCTCTCTCTCTCTCTCTCTCTCTTCCTTCCTAAGTTCCTCCAAAATATCATAAAATTATTTATAAAGTTTTTAAATCAAACGCATTTTTTAATATTTTGTTTTGAAAAATTATTTTTCAGAATGACAAACCAAACACATTTTCTGCAATTTTAAAATGATTCCTCAAAATAGAAAACAAAAACTGAATTCAAAATTGGAAATAGGAGGTATAAATGCAAACCAAATGCACGCTTAATGTTTCAAATGTTAGTCAAATTTTCATCATTTGTGATTAGAAGTTGGATTCAGTTCCCTTTGATGTTTTCCACTCTAAATCCCTTCAATGCAAGGATCGACTAAATTTTGGCTTGATCTTACAAATTCTACGGTAGTTACACCATTGTACATATTTGTCTAACCAAACTATGATACCTTAAACAAATATGCCTAGATTTGTATTCTAGATATAGTTTTGCGCTCTAAAATGGAAGCAAAGGCTTAGGTCAAATAGAGTTTCGAAATTTTATTCGTAAAATCTAATTCAAAAATTTCGCGACAAAAATATTTTATTTTGTTAAAATATTGATTTACCATCACATATTTCTGAGTGATAAAGAGTACCTCATTTTTTAGAACCTACAATTGTGTGTGTGTGTGTGTGTGTGTGTGTGTGTGTGTGTATATATATATTTTTTTTTTTTTTTTTTTTTTTTTTTGAAAATATAACGTAAACATGTCTCAGTACTTTTTTTGGTACGTTTTTGTCCCTAATGTACTCCAATAATTCTTTCTCGATTATTATCTATATAGCGACAATCTTACCTGCTTTAATCTTCCATTTCTTTACTGCCCCAATGTTCTCTATCGATGTCACATCACTATCGTCAACTACGACCTACAATTTTTGTCATTTAAAATATGTCTACATGCAAGTTTGTCATATGGTATAGATTTGATCGTTGAATTTTTTTATTTTACCCTACCACTTGCAGGTCTTCTATTGTGACTTGGCTTGTAGAAGTCCGAGAAATAAAATGAAATTA